AAAGATGAATAAATCAAATCGGGGCGGCGGTGATCCAGCAATTTCGAGAAGGTCCCTTGGTCGAAGCAGCCTCGGCGGGACTTGAGGGAACGGGGTAATTAGAGAACTATAAGGCCCTTGGATTGCGTTGGAGGAACCGGCCTGCCCGTTTGACTCGAAGTTCGGATGCGTCATGCTGTTAAATTGGCTTTTTTGAGTTTCTTTTCCTTCTTCCTCTTCTCTCTTCTGTGCTTCTTTTTTTAAATCTTTGTCTCTTCGTGTTTCTTGTTCTGTGTGCTTCTTTTTTATTTTGAGTTTTTTTTCTTGTTCTGCTTCTTCGGTTTTCTTTTGATTTTTTGTACCTCTTTTTTTTTCGTTAATTCTTTCCTTGTCTTCTTCTGAGTTTGTCTTCTTTCTTTTTCTCTCTCTCTTCATTTCCTCTTCCTATTCCTATCTCCTTGCTTCCTTCTTCCTTTCCTTCTATCCCATCCTTATACTTTTTCTCTCTCTTTCCTGCCTTTTCTCTCTCCTTGCTTCTTCCTTCTTTCCCTCTCGCTTTCCTCCCTTTTCTTTTCACTCTCCGTGCCTCTTTCTTCTGGGCCTTCCTTTCCTCCCTCTTTCTCCCTTCCTTCTTTCTCTCCTTGCCCCTTCCTCGTTCTTTTTTCTCTTCTCCATATTTCCTCCCCTTCTCCATTCCCTTCAATGTCAATATTTTATCTTCCCACGTCTCTCTCTCTCTCTCTCTCTCTCTCTCTCTCTCTCTCTCTCTCTCTCTCTCTCTCTCTCTCTCTCTCTCTCTCTCTCTCTCTCCTCTCTTCTGTCTGTCTGTCTGTCTATCTGTCTCTCTCTCTCTCTCTCTCTCTCTCTCTCTCTCTCTCTCTATCTATCTATCTATCTATCTATCTTCTATCTATCTCTTCGACTGTTTCTCCCTCTTTCTCTTTTCTCTCTCTCTCTCTCTCTTTATCTCTCTTGGGAATATACCATACCTAGTTATTAGATTTAAAACAAACAAACAAATTCCTTTCTTCATGCTATTAATGACTTAATCGTTATTGTCATGATTTCTATTTGTATTGACTTTGTTTCTTTCTTTTTTGTTTCATTAACGAAATCTGAGAGTAATTTAGTGTTGTCAAATTATATATATTGCTTTCAACAGTGTCATGGTTGGTACGTAACGGTGTTTCTTTTCCCTTTTTTTTCTTGCATTTACCAAAAGAAGATTGTTGAAGTCCTTAGAATTAGAGAGATTAATTGCTGTCAAATTAGCATATCTTGGAATTTCAGTGAATGATAGAATCCGCGGGAATGCAGACACATAACAATGCAGTGATGTCGCAAAATAATTGATTGCAAGATGGTTTTCATATCTTCTTTTCGACTGTTTCTCTCTCTTTCTCTTTCCCTCTCTTTCTCTCTTTCTTTCTCTCTCTCTCTCTCTCTCTCTCTCTCTCTCTCTCTCTCTCTCTCTCTCTCTCTCTCTCTCTCTCTCTCTCTCTCTCTCTCTCTCTCTCTCTCTCTCTTTCTCCTTCCACACAAGTCCTCTCTCCCTGTTTCTCCCTCCCTCCTCCATTAGCCCAGACTCCTCTCCTTCCCTCTCCCATTACCCCCCACACTCTCTTCCTCCCCCCCCCCCCCCCCCCCAACCCCTTGAAGGCATACAACCCTTCGTGCTCCATGACCTTTGATGACGTCACAGGTCAGGAGGAACTGCCTAACGAGCAGTGACAGGCTGTTGTCTTGCCCCTCCTTCCCCCCCCCTTCTTCCTCTCCCCTCCCTCTCTCCCTTTCCCTCTTCCCCTCTTCCCTTTCCCACAATCCGTCTTCTCGTCTTAATCTTCTTTCCTATGTTGCTGTTTTTATCTGTCTTTCTCTTTCACTCTTTCTCTCTCTTCTTTATTTTTTTCTTGTGATCTTTCAGCCTTTTTTTAGGTTTTCTTTTCTATCTGTTCTAATTCTTTGTCTTTTTGCCATCCGATGTGTATTCTTTTTCACCGTTATGCCCTTGTTCTCTTTTTCGTTTCAGTTCCTTCTTCTCTCTTTCTCTCTTTAATATTTTTCCCTTTGTTCTTAGTTTCTTATTTTTGTTTTTTCTTTTTTTTTTTTTCCAATCTCACATTGACTTGATAGTATTCTTACGGACTCTAACAATAATTAATTCATCTCTCTCTCTCTCTCTCTCTCTCTCTCTTCTCTCTCCCTTTCTTTCTCTCTCTCTCTCTCTCTCTCTCTCTCTCTCTCTCTCTCTCTCTCTCTCTCTCTTCTCTCTCTCTCTCTCTCTCTCTCTCTCTCTCTCTCTCCTCTCTCTCTCTCTCTCTCTCTCTCTCTCTCTCTCTCTCTCTCTCTCTCTCTCTCTCATGCACACACTCACTCTCATTCACTCACTATCAATAAAAAGTTAATTCTAGACAAAAAAATAAATATATTTTTTCGTATATATCAGTAAAAGTAAGAAAACGAATGAAAAAAAAAAAAAAAAAAAAAAAAAAAAAAAAAAATATATATATATATATATATATATATATATAATTATATATATTATATATATATATATATACTAGTATTTATGACTATTTGCTAATAATATCTACATCATGTTTTGCTATTTTTTTCCAGGTTGAGCAGAAGGTCGCGTTGACCCAGTAACGTGAACAGGTAATTACTAAGAAAAAATATCAATGTTTTTATTGTCTTATTAACAAAGGACTTATTTTCCGCAATTTTGTCTAAAAGAGACACTATTCTTTCCCTTTGTGTGAAAGGACTATATTCTTTCCTTGGAAGAATTCTTATACTTTTAGTCAAACTCTGAAGAAAATTGTTCCCTTTTATGTATTCACGTTTGTATTTTGATATTATTATTCTGTGGCTTATATAACTGAAAGATCGTGAAAATGCAATGCCTCTACCTGCTGTCTGTCTGATCTGTCTGTCTATTTCTCTCTCTCTTAGATCTGTCTGTCTATTCTCTCTCTCTCTCCTTTTTCACCAACACGTATATATGTAAACTCTCTGTCTATTTCTGTCTCTGTCTTTCTGCTCTCTCTCCCTCTTCCCTCTCCCTCTCCTCTCTCTCTCTCTCTCTCTCTCTCTCTCTCTCCTCCTCCCTCCCTCTCTCTCTCTCTCACCAACACGCATGCACGTAAATCTCAAATACTCATAAGCCACCCCGCATAAAATTTCTGCCTCCACCCCATTCCCCCCCAACCTCCACCCCCACCTTCACCTCCACCCCACCCCCCTCCCCCATGGCATCCTTCTTCCTCAGAGCACTTGTCCCGAGTAAGCAATATATCGCAAAAACTCTTCCAAAGGTCCCGCGCATTTTTTTCTCTTTCTTTCCCATTCCTCCTTTCCGTTGTTTCATTCACTTGCTTTATTTCATTTCATCCTACTGATCGTGTTCCGAGTAAGCAATATGTCAAAGATCCTCGCGTTATTTCTTCTTCTTCTTCTTTATCTTCTTTCCCATTTCTCCCCTTCGTTTTATTCATTCACTTACTTATCTTACTTCCTTTATTTCTTTCCCATTCCTCCCCTCCGTTTTTCTTCACCCACTTGCTTTATTCTCTTCCTTCCTATTGACTTGTTTAGCCTCGTTCGCATCTTTTGCCCAACCTCCCTTCAGAACGGAAGCCACGCGCCCTCAGACCACAGTGCAGTCACCTCTGCCTGTACTCGGTCGCCATTCCTATGCTAATGTCCGCAATTATCCCACCACGACGCTTGTGATAACGCGTCGAGTCCTCCGATCAGGCTTATGATTACAACGAAATGCAAACGACGCTATATTATTCAGAGGAGAAGCGTCGGAGGCCCAAGATAAGATCATACCACGGGCTTCTACTGTGCGTTTAGGGTCGAAAGTCTCGGGTTCTTCTTATAGGGAGGAGGGAGGTGGTGGTTTGTTTATGTTTTGTTACGCAGCATCGAAGCTGTTTCGAATTCGCGGTTCGGGTTCGGTTTGTGATTTCGTTTTTGAAGGTGTTGGTGCTTCGTTCGGTGGTTCGGTGGTTCGGATTCGGGTGAGGGAGAATTCTTGTGGTAATTGTGTCTTTTGCGATCTATTCCTTTGTCTGTCTTTTTTGTTTTCTGTTTCTTCCTGCCTGTTGTTATTTTTGCTCTTTCGTTTTCTTCCAGCCTATTGTTATTTTTGTTCTTGTGTTTTTCCCCCTATCCATCACTTCTTTTTGTCTTTTTGTTTTAATCTAGGCTTATTTATCTATTTACCTGTTTGCTCTTCTCTCTCTCTCTCTCTCTCTCTCTCTCTCTCTCTCTCTCTTCTCTCTCTCTCTCTCTCTCTCTCTCTCTCTCTCTCTCTCTCTCTCTCTCTCTCTCTCTCATAGACCCTCATCTGTCTAATAAAAACCAGGAGAATGGAAATATAAAAATATATTTATGTAAATATTTTTTTTTGTTTGTTTCACTGCGTTAGCCAATCAAATTGCGAAAACAGAATTATTCTTGCTATATTCCTTTAACCTCATATATTTTAGTTAATTCTTACATGCATTACCCGTTTTCTTTCAATATTATCACTACCATAATTCAAATTTTAACTGCAACCAGGAGGATTCGAGCCCTGTCTATGGTACGTTGCCAGGATAGGCCTATGGACGGTGCTACGATCTCAAACTGTTGAATAAAAGTCTTATATAATTCGTGTATTCCTGACGAAGACCTATTCGAAACCGGTCAAATACATCTCTTGTAGTGTGAAGATATTCCCATTCATACCTTTTCTACATTTGTTTACAGGAATACGGTTCATGCTGAATGAAAATCCAAAGTGCCTTTTGCTGATGGATCTGTTATAATAGCCCTGAAAAGTTGTGTTTGACGTGTGACAAGATCGTTATCATGATTCTCATCTTTATCCCTGTTATCACGAGAATCTTAATCTTTAGTATCATCATCGTTGTCATTATCGTTTTTATTATTGTTATTATTATTACTCTTCTTCTTCGTATTATTATTATTGTCATTACTGTTACTTCTATTATTATCTTTATTATTGTCACTTTTGTTCCTGCTTTTCACGTTTATTATCATCATCATTACTGTTATCATTATCATTGTTTTTGTTGTTAATGTTTTTGTCATCATTGTTAGTATTATTTTAGTATTATCATCAGTAGTATCATCATCGTCATCATTCTTTAATAGTCTTATCAATATTGTTTATTATTATC